AGAGCTATGCATCTATTCTCTACCTTCAGAATTCTTCCTAGCTTTCGAATCATTCTCCGCGGGAAAGATGTTGAACACCATAATATAGTGAATGACATGATGATGCCCCAGGAGGTTACTTACAATCCGCAGCCTGGAACTGATGGGGTCCCAAAAGATGCTAATGTAATTTTTGTCATAATGATATTTGGTTGAGAGTTATTTTCTCATAGCTAACGTGCAAATCTGGTGACTAAATTTTTTTTCTTTTTTATTAGATGGTTGCTTCTATCAGTATTGGGTGTGTTAAGGATGCAAAAGCACATATTGATGTTCAAGGTTTTAATGTTTATCACAAAAATCGAATCATTAAGATTTGTCTTCTGTTTCTTTTTAGTCCTTGCTATATATGAAATGTTAAATGCTCGCCATTTATCGACTAAATTAATGCCTGGCTTCTGTTCCTTTGCGTTGCGATCTGATTATGTTTGTCAATATTAGTAGTTACATATAGTGTTACTATGCCCCCATTTGGTTCAGCTGGAAATTAGATTTTTAGTAGATTTTGATAAAGTTGATGAAACATGTTAAAAAAATGATAAAATTATGGGTCCCGTGAAATATGTGTTTGAAAATGAATTTGATGAAAAATGAGTTTCAGAAAATGGGTGGCCAAACTGGGGCTATGTGTCTTGTATTTTCTGAGATTTATCAACTTAGGTCATGCTTTTCACAATTAGCATTTAGTTTTTCTCATACTGATTGGTATACGTGGAACTCGTGGAGTCATTTCATGGCCCATGTGATTTAATGCATACTTGATATCAATTTTTTCTATTTCTCCAGCCATTTTGAAGACTTTGGCATGCTTCTGGTAGTGATGGTCGTGGAGTTATAGGCAGTCTTCTGTCCTGTTTACTTCCATAAATTTCATTATGTTTAGTTGCATAATGTTGTACATCTTCCTATCAGGTGTGCTGGAAGCCAATTTTGTTGAACCAGCACATGATAAGCAAGGGTTTGAGCGAACGTACTACAGTTCTTGCAAGACTGGAGGCACAATTGATACAGATGCAAAAGACATATAGGTTTGTTTCTAGTGTGCTGCAGACATTTGTGTTTCCTCCTATTGTCTCCATTCCTTAACTTCTATGGGTATTTAATGCTTATAATTTTTGTATTGCTTTAGGTCATCAAATTGTCACCACATTGGCTATTCTCGACGACGAAATAAGAAAGCTTGTGAAAGAGGTATGAAACGGAGTCGTGGTCTTCCCTCCACAATCCATACTGAGAAAACATAAAACGAACATGGAAAAATTTCACTAAGGTGTACACACTGATATATCACAATCCAAAGTTCTACTTACAAGTTCTCCTATGATTAGGACAT